GCATCTGACTGACTGACTCAGAACTCCCGTTTTTTTTCCTTCTGCATTATGATGACATCATCGTCAACCATAACAATGCAAATCCCCGAAAAAAAATTTTTCGCATAATGTATACACTACTGACTCTTTTAGTTTATCGAAATACACATTATGGAAAAAATCGTAATTTGCCAGATATCATTCATATGTATAATATATATACGTGTAAACCAATAATAATAATAATAATAATAATAATAATAATAATAATAATAATAATCTTTTTTTTAAGAAACACACCTTTGTTTATCAATCAACATAAGCTGACTAATTTTTACCCCATTCATATACACTTTATGTATGCATATATATATATATATATATATATATATATATATATATACGTATATAAAACGCTAGGGAAAATCAATATCGATTCAATGAACATTGAATAAAATAAATAAGCGGGACTTTCAAAAATCGATCTCGTTGAGAAAAAGTATAAAGTAAACATTCATATATGTTTTATTTTTACTTTTTTCTCATTGGGCAGTAGTAATTTTACACTACAAAATTAAGGTCAAATAAATAACTTGAATGTAAATGAAGTAGGGTATTTTTCTGTTTGTTTTCTTGATCACTTACTAAGACTTTTTTAATGATGTAATCATATTGTACTGCTATTTTTGGGTGGAGGGGAGAGGTCAATATGATATGGGCTGTTGTTATTTTTAATGGGACTAGTTTTATATTATCAAATTTGATTTATTTTGACTAGATTGCCTGTAAGTAAATTGAACTAATGACCTTGTGTTCACTAATATATTCTAAGAGAACTACTATTTTTGGAAGTCTAATTTTTATTGGTCAATTCCTACTGTGGTCAAATAATAATTATGCTCGTCCTAGCTCTGTCAATGTCATACAGACTTTTCAATGTTGTTTCCTATTGGTCGATCGAATTGTATAAAAATATGCATTTTATTATCTGTGAAAGCTTATTATTATTTCATTGATTCAATCGTTCTGTACTTGATTCCTAGACAAAAAACTTCATCTGACACGGTGTTGTGTGTTCTGATCTACATTGGAGATTTGGGAACAGTAGTAGTATTTGGGGTTCGTATTGGAATATTTGAATTTGATCAATCGGTAAGGATTTCGAATAGTTACAAAGCAGCATGAACTTCTTTCAGTCAATAAACTTAACGACAACGAATTGACGACACACATGAATACTTAGAACACATTATAATAGTCTATGATACAGCTTACTGCACGATGGTTAGAATAGAGCAAGAACATAGCCGGGCAGAAAAAATCTTCTAGACTTTTAGTTCACGATTTTAAAACTTGTAGACAGACAAACAGACAGACAGATACAACGCAGAACTTCGTACGTAAGTACATCAGTTCAGGTTGCCATACCACATCACCACAGAGACGCAACTGTCAGTTCAAATCCAACAGTGATAGCAATAATAGAAGTATTAGCAGTAATGGAGAAGATTAGGGACCGAAGATATGATTCGAGAAGTATAATTCAGTAAGATAAATTGTGAAGGAGTAAGGTAGAGATTAAGAGGAATTCAGGAAGTTTAAGTTAGGAAGAACACAAACAGCGGATGAACCTGCGTCATTGCAAACGATTCTGAACCATGTCGTTCAAAGTCTATAACCATCGATGACTTTCGTCTCGCGGACCCCAACCAGGTAGCCTACATCTACCAACATGACTCAGTCCACTTGTCAGTGAATTCATGGATTTTTGCCATGTTTTGGTATGGCCAACCCTAGATTTCTTCCAATCTACTCCTACACTACAAAACATAGCTCATCACGGCAGTCGGTGGTTAGCCATTCGTAACACATGTCCCAACCACCTCAACTGATGAAGTTTCACTACTTCATTTAGTGATGTGCCATTCCTACCTAGAACTCGTTTCCTAACGACAGCATTGCTTACTCGATCGTCCCACGATACACGAGCAATGCTTCGGAGACATCGATAATCAAAAACTAGTAACCTACGGAAGTCCTCTACTCTTAACAGCCAAGTCTCGCATCGGTACAGTAGGACGGAGCGAACTGCTGCACAGTACACTCGTCTTTGAGTCAGCAAACGGATATCTTGCCTGCGCTATAGGTGACGCAGGTTGGAAAAAGCCAATCGAGCCTTCTGTAACCGTAAAACTTGTAGCTGAAGTTGATATTACCGAAAAATTGAAGTAGAACTGAACAATCAACCATTTATTATAAATGAATAATAATTTAAGAAAGTGTTAGTTAACAGGCCAAATGAAGGCTTACAAACCGAAGAATAAAATGATTGGAGTGTTAAATTACACAAGTAAAATAAACTTATTGAAATCTTGAATCTATCAATGTTAGACTACCATTAGAAGTTTGAAAGCACTGGATGGCCCTCCAGCACCTCGTTGGATTCAAATCCAGGACCTATAGTCATGCGCATGAACGCCTAACCTCTGGACTGCTGAGCCGGTGTATCTAATGATGTCACAGAAGACAGTGTTTAAGGTTGCACAACTCAGTGAATTGATCGAAGTTGGACATTAATACCATTAGATACACCGGCTCAGTGGGCCACAGATTAAGCGCTCGTGCACACGATCGAAGGTCCTGGATTCGAAGCCCGCGAGGTGCAGGACCAGTGGATACGTACTGCCACTCACGAGTCCCATACTGGGGACAAAACAGCAGTCTTTCAGTGCTTCCAGTTTTCCAATGTTTGTTTAATATGGATCGATTCATGATTTCAATAAGTAATTTAACAATCTCCACAATCCCATAATACAAATTAAATTGTAAACAATAATTTCATGAAACTTGAAATCGCTTAGATTATCATAAGGGTTATTTATATATATTGAGGCGATCTGTACAGGATGCCCATATGTCAATGGCCACACTAAGAATAGAGAATATATTCATAGGTTACTAGTATTAGATCATAAGTGTCTTTGGAATAGTGCTGATGTATGTTGGGACCACTGCAGTCAGTCAGTCAGTTGCAACGTAGAACTTCGTACGTATGTACATAAGTTCATGTTGCCATACCACATTAACACAGAGACGCAAATGTCAAACCAAATCCCATAGTGATAAAGATAGTAGAGGTATTAATGTTAATAAAGAAGACTAGGGTTTGAAGATATTATTCAAGAAGTATAATTCTGTGAGATAAGGTTAGAAAGACAAAGGTAGGGGTGCTGACGAATCCGGAAGATTAGGATTTGAGAGAGCTCAAAGAGTGGATGCACCTGCGCCACTGCAAACGATTTTGAGCCATGTCGTTCAAGGTCTCTAAACATTGATGACTTTCGTCTCGCGGACCCCAACCAGGTAGTCTACATCTACCAACATGACTCAGTCCACTTGTCAGAGACTTCATGGATTTGTGCCATGTTTTGGTCTGGCCGCCCCTAACTTTCTTCCAACCTACTCTTATGCCACAAAACATAGCTCGTCCCGGCAGTCGGTGGTTAGGCATACGCAAGACATGTCCCAACCACCTCAACTGATGAAGTTTCACCACTTCATCGATTGATCTGCCATCCTTACCTAGTACTCGTTTCCTAACGACAGCATTGCTTACTCGGCTGGGACCACTGCTGATGTTAGGAAACCGGTATTAAGTAAGGATGATAAGTCAATTAATGAAATAACAGTGAATCTTTATCAGTTCTAGTGGTTAGTAAATGTGTTGTGTGTGCACAACCAACGACCACCACAACGATAGACTCTGTTGTCTAGTTTAGGAACAGGTTAGAAGAAAACCAGTGGTGGTCAATCCGAAACACAGCACTACTTGAAGAAGTCAATCACAACTGGACTGAGCCATGTTAGCAAGTGTAGACTAACAGGTTGAGGTCCGCGAGACAATCTTAATAGGTGATTAGAGATTGCTTATATTCAATGACAACACCATGTAAGTAATGGAGAGATTTACATATTATGGACACAGCGATGATAATTCAATTGGTGTCACCGCCTTGGCTTCAACTTGTACTACGAATGTTATCCTGATGAATTCCACATCATGCATTATTTGCCAACGCTGAGACTGGTTGGAAAAAGTGAAGAGGTGAGTGTATGACATAGTTTCACAGTATGAAAGACAGTTAGACAGGACTGTTGGGGATGTTAGATCCCCGAAACTCGCTTGTTAAATGACTTATTTTGGATTTCACGTTTGCGAGCATGGGCTGATCAGTTGACCTTGAGATTTCATTTCCAACAAACCAGGAAAATCCATGGCTGTGATTGGCTGATGTGTATTTCAGTGTGCTATTTTCGTAATTGTCACAAGGACGTGTCTATGATGTATAAATAAACGAGAGTTGTGTGGTTGATTGTATTGTGATTGATGGGTGTTGTAGAATATACTTTTTACGCTTATCAAGACTTCTGTTTTGCAGCTTGGGATTCAAGGTAGCCTACCTGGACGCTGGTTGATTGTCTCGTTCGCGTTTATCGACTAAGGTGAACTCGTAATAGCTTCAAGCGTACCTAGTGACGAACCCTACAAGGACTGTCATCTGTTGTTCCTCCACAACTCCCTGGTTTGGTTCCTAGAGATGATGCAACACAGTAGCTTCAGAAGTTATCAAACATTGGGCTTAGAAAAGAAGCAAGTTGTGGCCCTATTGTAATTTGGTGAAACTTTCTTTTATTATCTTCACACAAGTAAGAGGGAACTTCCGTTGTGAGAAGGCACCACCGTTGCAGATACTGATTGTCCAAAGGGAAACATCTTACTTCTACAGCCTACAGTACGACTCCGTCCTTAGACTTTCAGTTTCTGCATTTAGGCCAACCGTTCTCTAACCGACTTGATAGAACACCTAAAAGAACATATATATTCCGGTGAATATAGCTCGGCTAGGGTCATCATCATGACATGCGAGCTCAACCACCAACCACGTACATCAATCAAAGTAGCGCAGCTACAGTAGTGTGTCAGTGAAGAGTCATTGGTGAAATCAAACTGTACAACCTACCTAATATCTGGGCAAATGTCGGTCGAGCTTTTGGTTCATGTGCCCAACTAGCACGCATAATTGCATCATATATAGCATCTGGACATGAATCCGGTTGATTTAATCGACCAAAATTTGGTGTATCAATAATATCTAAAATTTGTTGACTTGTAAGACCAATCCATGGTGTAAAACCATAAGTGAATAATTCCCATAAAGTAATACCATATGCCCATATATCTGATTGTATAGTGAATAAGAATTGATGTATACATTCTGGTGCACACCATGCAATTGGAAATTTTAAATGAATATTTAAATTGGATTGATAATATGATTTGTCTAATTGTAATGCACGATTCATACCGATATCACTAATTTTAACCTGTTGAGAATAGAAAAATAAAAAAAAGGGAAAACCAATAGAAAAAACACACACACACACACAACAAATAGGGAATGTAGGAAAGATTTGATTTTGACCAATTTGGTCTCGTGTGTTATTACAGGTATGAGGGGGCGGTTGTCACTTCCCGGCTGCCCACACCATGGAAGGTTGTTTGTTGAGGAACATGAAAAGGAAGATAGATTAGTGTTCGTCTAACAGACCTGGGCGTATGACCGTAGAACCCAGATGACAACTGCTTCAGGCCGGTCACGCATGGCTTTTTTATGAAAGGTTTTCTGAGTATTAGCTCCGCTCTTAAAAGCCCTTAGTTAGCACCCTTACCCAAGGAGACGGAAATCCGTGAGGTGTGATATTTTTAGGGCCGACCTTTTCTAACCCTTCCTTCCTTGTGAGAAAGAAGGCAGCATCGCTGCAGATGCTGGTTGTCTGAGGGAAACACCTTGCTGCTGTCTTACCCTCTGCAGTCAGCAGTACGACTTCGCCCTCAGACCTTGGGTAGCTGCTTTTAGTCTCATCGTTCTCCAATCGACCTGCCTGACATGGTAGAGAACCTTCAGGAACATATATTCCAGCCAGTATAGCTCGGTTGGGTCATCACGATAGGCAAGCCCGACCACTACGTCAAGGTAGCAGCTGCGGTCGGGACACGCCAAATTTATCGAATCGATCAAATAGTTGGGTGGAATATTGACAAATCATTAAATTTACCTGTCATTCATGCATGGGATAGGGATGTTTTGTCATAGTATGGGACTACATGGTCTCACCTCGTCGGCGGAAAACGAACTCAGAACCGTTGGTATTGCGCATGAAAGCTTATCTGCTTGATCATTGAGCTGTCATCTAACGGTGTGAATGTTTAGATTTAATCAAGCTACGACCATCATGTATTGTATTCACTTGGTAACTGTAACTACATCACGCTCAACACCGTTGAACTCTACTGATCGAGGCTTTTCTCACAAAGTCAAGCGTTCGCGTGCGACGTGCTGCATTCCATTTTGTGCTGGAGTGGTCGTGGATGGACAGTCCCTTACAGTCGTTATACTAGGATGAAACGGCTATCCAGTGCTTTTCCAGGTCTGTGATAATCTTCACAATCCTAAGATTTCGTGTTTCGCACAGCGTATCGTAACTTAGTCGATAGAATTCAATCAGCACTAAAGAACTAGACCATGATGACGCTAACCACTATTTCAATGATTAATACTTTTTTGAGACTTTAATGAACAAAATATAATACCGGTGATCTTGCATATGAATTTACTAAAAGAACAGGAATGTGGATTTAATGATTCCATATACATAGATAGTGTCTTTTTGGCTGAATTCAACTATGAAAATCATTTTACACTGAAATCATGAATCAATATCAATGTTAGGCCACCATTAGAAACCTGAAAGCACTGAAAAACAACCATTCTGTCCTAGCATGAGACTACTCATCAGTGACAGTGCACATTTACGCAGGAATCTAACACAGGACCTTCAGTCTCGCGTGCCAACACTTAACCTCTTCTACACTATTGGACCAGCGCATCCAATGATGTTAATGTCTAGCTCTGATCAATCTAAGATTCGGGGCTCAACCTCACTCAATATCTTTGGTAGTTACTAGCTACATCCGAAACGTCCATCCAGTGCTTCCAGGTTTCCAATGCTAATCGAACAATGATTGATTCACGATTTCAAAACAAAAAAATCTCCACAACTCTATAGTTAAAGAAATCTTTGTCAACAAAGATTCCATCCAATTAACAACTAGTATTGTAGTGAACGAGAACACAGGTGGGGCAACCGAATTGTATTTATCTCAAATTACAGAGTTACTCAGTAAAATCGGAAAACCATATCGTAAATTGTTAATTTGCAAAATATCAGTTCATCATATCGAACTGGACTGTTCCTGTTGCAAAACATCAATCCATTGTCACTATTCATGCGTTTCATACAAATTCCATTGTGTTCTTCTAACTCTTCCTTTCTTGATCTTCCCTCATCTTCTGCTGCCAGACATTAAGTTGACACTCACGTCATATACTACTTATAAGTAGCTCGCACCACAGTACTTGATAATGGCGCACATGTAAAACACTAACAGAGATTGATCCAAGAAACACCATGACTATCTATCACACATCAGAAATTAAGTTGCTGCTTCTATTAATACCATTCTCCAATCAACCTGTCTGGCATGATAGGACCTAAATTAACATATATATTCTAGCCAATATACCCTCAAGTTGAGTCATCATGACAGGCAAGTCCGACCCTCGACGTACGTCAAAATAGCCACTACAGTCAGTGAGGAGTTATTAGTAAGATCAAACTGCATTCAAAAAAAAAAATACAACACCATGACTATCATCTCATTCACCTATGCACTAAGAGTTCATTAAAAGTCCTACAGATTTGCTTGCATCAGCGTGTAAGTGAAATGATCTAAATCGTGTAACGCAGGACTTAATGATATTCAATTGAATTTATTTTTGTTAAAACTTCATCATTACATCTAATCATCTATTGAAACAAACGATATTACAATTTTATCATGTAAACACATCTGTTGTGACCAAAGGAGTTCAACTCTATCGGGTGTAGGCAGTAACTACCAAAGACAAATGGGTGAGGTCACGCAAAATCCAGTAGATCAATCAGAGTTAGACATTAACACCGTTGGATACCAACCGGCCCAGTGGTCCGATAGTTAGGCGTTCGCGCACAATACCAAAGGTCCAGGGTTGGAATCTTGCGAGGTGCAGGAGTCGTGGATGCTCACTGTCACTGATGAGTCCCATACCAGGACGAAACGGCCGTCTTTCAGTGCTTCCAGGTTTCTAATGGTGCTGGTCTAACAATGATTGATTGATGATTTCAAATGTGTAAAAAAGAATACAAACCTCCAAAACTCTGCCCAAAAATGTTGTATTTTAACCACACAAAATACCAAACGCGAAACTTTTCAATGGTTCTGACAAACTACGGCACACACACACACATACATGTAAACTGATTTTCCGTGCATCTATTTCAAACAGAATTTCACAATGCAATAATACTTTGTAAATATAAATCTATATATCAATAAAACATTTATTTTCTTGTTAATTAAAAACAGAAAACGAAGGTTGAATTTCTACACACGCACACACACACACAATAAACAAACATTGGAGAATGACAAAATTTTGACTAAAGAAAACAAATTAGTAATTCATTTATTTGTACAGTAAATAAGACGTGCGTGCAACGGACATACATATCCATGCCCAACATGTATACATACACATCGATGTATAATATTTGACATTTCACCTTAGAATGAAACAGTGCGACACACAGCAGGAGACTAATCTCTGTTTATTTACCCATTTATTTCACTTTGTCATTAGTTTTTTTCTTTTCGTTATGAAATTAATAGGAATATAGTTTAACTGGGATGATTATTTTCCGTCATTTATGGCAGTACACTTAGTTGCCTAAAATTTTGCATTATGGCATTATGGGATTGTGAAGATTGTTAAGCTATACATTTGAAACGATGATTCGATCAATGTTAGATAACCATTAGTAACCTAGAAGCATTGAAAGATGGCTGTTTCGTCCTAGTAAGGGGACTCATCAGTGGCAGTGTGAATCCCCCGACTCTTACAACTCGTAGGATTCAAACCGACGACCTTTGGTCTTGCACGCGAACGCCTAACCTATGAACTACTAAGCCAGTATCTAACAGTTTTAATGTTTTAGTTCGATCAATTCACAGTCCTGCGCAACTTCATACACTGTCTTCGGTGAGCATTGCTTTACACCTGAACAGGGTTGAACTTCACTGGTCACGCCCAGTAACTGACTTCAAATTTAGACGAATGATTGAATATTCAACGAAATAATTCTTTCCTTTTGATTCCTGTATACCAATCATCATTCTTAAGTAAACTCCATTTAGGCGACGGAGTTAATTAAAAGCCCAATACAGTTTTATGTGGATGTATTCATCTCATACAATCGTGTAAGTTGAGATACAATAAAGTGAAATGCAGAAAGGCAAACTGAAGCGAAGAAAGCGAGTACAAGCGCCAACTCAATATAATGAGGCATCGCCAAGTATTAGTTATGGTCAGAAAGAAAATAGCCTCAAGTAACAACAACCAAGATTAAAGACAAATAATTGAGGGAGACAACTATTGTATGCACAAATCCACGAGAATGGATTAGTTGAATTTGTTCACAAGTTGAGTGTTAGGATATTCATCCAATATCCTAAGAGAATTGTTGGTCTATTCCTATTGGTTAATTCCTACTGGTCAATTTTATGGTCGTCCTAGATATCAATGTCACTTCGAATGTTACTTCCTATTGGTCGTCTTAACTGTCAATACCACAGAATTCGATGCTGTTCCCTATTAGACCAAAATGTATAAATACGCATTATATGTAACGTTTATGACCAGGACCAGAACCCGGTCCCGAATCCCTAGTTCGGGATACTGACTCTCTTCTGGATTCGGACCTCGTACTTTCTGAATGCTTGTAGAATACAAGTTCTACTTCATATCAAGTCTTCTTATTTTCTACTCAATATGGGGGATGGGATAATCGGATTTGAGTAGCATGTCGTGTCGCCAGATCCTCGATCATCACTCTCGTTTTCCGACTAGGTAAACACACGTAATAGTTCAAGCATATCAAAATGACTTGTTTACGTGCAGGCGTAACATTGGGACAAGCCATATAGACTCGACATATGAGTAAACACCACATAGTATTATTATTAGGATTTTACTATAGTGTATAACATCGGAAATTTCGAATGTGAAACTTTCATTGTCCTTCTTCTGAACAACATCATAATCAGTACAAACTTTAGATAGCAGAAGTGAAGTATTCGATAATGTTGTTCTGAAGAAGAACAATCCAAGCTCCACAACCAAAACATCCAGCTCAGACAACGAAACACCACCATAACCATCATCCAC